CTTTTTTTTTTGTTCGCTGGCTATTTGGGAGTTTTTTTCAGCTTTTCTTCCGTCCACAACGATCCGCCTGTTCCTCTGCTGGTGGAGGACTACCCCAAAAACATGTGAAAAGCTAGTCGGGGGACGATCTCTTGTTAATCTCAGACGTTTGGGCTATTTTGGAGTTTTCCTGGGATTTGTTGCTGGCTATTTGGGATTTTATTTTTTCTTCGTCCACCATCCGCCTGTCCCTCTACTATTGGAGGAATATCCCAAAACACGTTAAAAGCTAGTCGGGGGACGACTTGTCTTGTTCATTTCATTTGTCTGGACTATTTTTGAGTTTTTTGTAGATTTTCTTATGGATCTTAGATTTTTTGTGGATCTTTTGGGGGTTCATTTTCATGTTTCGTCCGAAATCCGCCCGTCGGCGGCCCCCTGCCGCCGCTCCCGCCTCGGGCCGCCCCCCCCCCCCCCCAGGGCGCGCAGCTGGCCAGGGACGGGGACGCGCTGGAGCACGGGCACGGGGGCGCCGGCGCGCACCGGCCCGGGAGCTCAGGAGGGCCCCCTCCCCAGACCTCCTCGCGTCGTGAAAAAATCACGACGGGAGGTTTTTCGCCGTTTTCGGCCTCCGGGGGCCCTCGCCGGGCCTCGGGACCGTCAAAAAACGACTCAGGACGAAAAACCGGTCCCGGGGAATGGTCGCGCACCGGCCCGGGAGCTCAGGAGGGCCTCAGAGCTCGAGCCTCGAGCCTCGAAGCCTCGAAGCCTCGAGACCTCGAGAAGCCTCGAGAAGCCTCGCTCCTCGATCCTCGAAGCCTCGAGAAGCCTCGAAGCCTCGAAGCCTCGAAGCCTCGAAGCCTCGAGAAGCCTCGAAGCCTCGCCCGCGCACCGGCCTCGATCCTCGAAGCCCCGAGGAGCCTCGCTGGGGGAAGGCGGTGCGGGCGAAGCCGCCTGAGCGCCTGCAGAGAGCCAGGCTCCGAGCACGGGCACGGGGGCGCCGGCGCGCACCGGCCCGGGAGCTCAGAGGGCCCCCTCTCTGGACGCCCGAAATGGGTACGGAAAGAATGGGTCCAATGCCCAACAGCAAGTCCTGTTCATTTTGAGCAGGATTCGCTGTCCACGCCGCCGCGGCGTGTGTCCATTCGAGACAGAAGGCCGCCTGCCCAACAGCGGCCGCTGTTGGTTTGGGACAACATTTGTTGTTGGGCATTGTACTCGTTTTTTCCGTACCCATCTCGGGCGTCCAAACCCTCGCCTCGGGCGTTCGGCAGAGGGGGGGCGAAGTTATTTGCGCCCTCGAGGGGGCGAAGTGTTATTCGCGCTGCGCGCTTCGCGGTTCGGCTCCGATGCCTCCTTCTCCTCCTCTTTTCCCCTGGGAGGCGGCGCGAGAGCGCGGAGTTGGTCGCACTTCGCGCTTCGCGCAGCGCGAAGCGCGAAGCTGGGAGCCCTTGAGAATCGGCGGCGGGCGAGGGGGGGACTCGAGAAGGAGGGGGGCGGCAAAGAGGGGGGGCGGCAAAGAGGGGGGGTGGATATCATGGCGGGGGCCATGATATTTCCTCAGATGTCATGGCGCCTCTTCTTATTTCATGACGTCCCTGGCCCCCTCGCCTCGGGCGTTCGGCAAAGGGGGGGCGAGAATCGGCGGCGAGCGAGGGGGGGAAGCTGGGCGAGGGCTGCTAAAACCGCGGCTGCTAAAGCGGCCCTCCCGGAAGGAAAAGACAACTTCCCGGAATGAGGCGCGGCACGCGAAACAGGCAACGGGGTTCTTCCCGGACGAGGACAATTTCCCGGAGGTCGATTTTAGCGGCCACGGATTTAGCAGCCCTTGCCCGGCTTCCGAGAGGGTGGATATCATGGCGGGTGCCATGATATTTCCTCAGATGTCATGGCGCCTCTTCTTATTTCATGACGTCCCTGGCCCCCCCGCTGGGCCGCGCACATGCCGCCGGTCATGATTTGCACCCCCCCTCTTGCACATCCCCCTCTTAGCCGCTCCCGAGTAAAGGGGGGGCGATAATCGGCGGCGAGCGAGGGGGGGTACTAGCCGGCCGCTCTGCGGTTGATCGGGAGTTTCTGTATATAGAAGAAGGTGCGTGCGCTTGTTGGCGAGGGTGATGAGGTCCTCCTCCTCCTCCTCCTCCTCCTCCTCCTCCTCCTCCTCCATCCTTCTCTTGCCTCCGTCTGTCCTCCTCCACCCCGCAGCTCCATCATCTCCTCCTCCTCCTCCTCCTCCTCCTCCTCCTCCTCCTCCTCCTCCTCCTCCTCCTCCTCATTCCTCCTCTGGGCACCTCCCCCGGGGCGCGGATCCACCGGATCTGTCCGGATCTGTCCGGAAACGGTGCCGGATGCCGCTCTGGGCTCCTCTGGGCACCTCCCCCGGGGCCGGTTTTGTGAGGATGTCTCAAGCGAGGGCGCCGGTTTGGGATTCGTCACCGGATCCAGCGGATCCAGCGGATCTGTCCGGAAACGGTGCCGGAGGCCGCTCTGGGCTCCTCTGGGCACCTCCCCCGGGGCCGGTTTTGTGAGGATGTCTCAAGCGAGGGCGCCGGTTTGGGATTCGTCACCGGATCCAGCGGATCCAGCGGATCCACCGGATCTGTCCGGAAACGGTGCCGGAGGCCGCTCTGGGCTCCTCTGGGCACCGCCGGTTTGGGATTCGTCACCGGATCCAGCGGATCCAGCGGGTCCGGAAACGGTGCCGGAGGCCGCTCTGGGCTCCTCTGGGCACCTCCCCCGGGGCCGGTTTTGTGAGGATGTCTCAAGCGAGGGCGCCGGTTTGGGATTCGTCACCGGATCCAGCGGATCCAGCGGATCCACCGGATCTGTCCGGAAACGGTGCCGGAGGCCGCTCTGGGCTCCTCTGGGCACCTCCCCCGGGGCCGGTTTTGTGAGGATGTCTCAAGCGAGGGCGCCGGTTTGGGATTCGTCACCGGATCCAGCGGATCCAGCGGATCCACCGGATCTGTCCGGAAACGGTGCCGGAGGCCGCTCTGGGCTCCTCTGGGCACCTCCCCCGGGGCCGGTTTTGTGAGGATGTCTCAAGCGAGGGCGCCGGTTTGGGATTCGTCACCGGATCCAGCGGATCCAGCGGATCCACCGGATCTGTCCGGAAACGGTGCCGGAGGCCGCTCTGGGCTCCTCTGGGCACCTCCCCCGGGGCCGGTTTTGTGAGGATGTCTCAAGCGAGGGCGCCGGTTTGGGATTCGTCACCGGATCCCGGATCGGATCCAGCGGATCTGTCCGGAAACGGTGCCGGAGGCCGCTCTGGGCTCCTCTGGGCACCTCCCCCGGGGCCGGTTTTGTGAGGATGTCTCAAGCGAGGGCGCCGGTTTGGGATTCGTCACCGGATCCAGCGGATCCAGCGGATCCACCGGATCTGTCCGGAAACGGTGCCGGAGGCCGCTCTGGGCTCCTCTGGGCACCTCCCCCGGGGCCGGTTTTGTGAGGATGCCCAGAGGTTCTTGGGAGCTGGAATCTAGCTCCTGGAGCTATTTCGTTTTTGGTAGCTGAATTCTAGCTCCCAGGCAAAACTGTGTTTTTGGGTTTTTCGCTGTTTTTGAATTTTTGGACGTCGGTGCTATTAAGTTGCTTGCTTTGTGTTTCTTTCTTGTTATTTTTGATGTTTTCCTTTTTTTCTTAAGGCAATCAGTACGACAGTAACGGCGCCAGCCTCTGCACGTCGGCCGTTCCTTCGAACTGGCTGTGCAAGGGCTAGGAAACAGCATTCCGAAGTTATGCCTCCTTCCGCCTCCATGCTTTCCCAGGCAAATGTGCCCACAACGAAGATGTAGAGCGCGCCCCCTGTATGATCCAGGTCGGTTGACATGTTTTGAAGCAGGGGTGGGTATGTATATAAATGTATACATACACGCGTGGGGTGCACTTCCCCACCTGATGTTTGTTGTGTATGTGTTTCGTCACACAAGGTGATCCGCCGAAATCAGAACGTTCACGTCCGCGTGCGTGCCTTTCTCACCCCCCCTGGCGAGCACACCCCTCTCACGTTTCATGGCAACGGGTTCCGTCGCGACGGTCTTCTTTAGCATCGTTGCGTTTCTTCGCCCATGTCGGCACAACGCGCACGCAGCGTGGTCTTAAATTTCTATACCGACGGCTCCAGCAAACGGCGCCCACAACGCGACCATGCATCCGCACACCCCTCACGCGAAGACGAAATCGGTTGCAGCATGTCCGCCCCATGTCGGCGCACCGCTTGCACGCGTCGCGGCTTTTGGAAGCCATTTTCGGAGTAGCATTGGAGGAAGTCTCAGGTGGGAGCCCTTTCCTTGTGGGTAGAAAACAGGAGGAGGAGGAAAAGCAGGAGGAGAAGCAGGGGAAGGACGAGGAGGAGGAGGGGGAAGAGGAGGAGGAGCGGGAGCAGGAGCAGGAGCAGGAGGAGGAGGAGGAGGAGGGAGGAGCAGGAGGAGGAGGAGGAGGAGGAGGACGACGAACAAGTGTATCTACAGTGGTCGCTATTTTCGCGTTTGTCGACCTTTCGTCGTTACCCTTTTGTTGTTGTACCTCCTCCTCCCCCTTCTTCATCCGACGGGGAGCCCGTGTGTCAAAACCACATCGGGCTCGAAAAAAAAACCGCGAGGCACGGGGCATTTATAAAGCACATGCCCTTCCTCAGCGGCGAATTTCTCGCCGTCGAACACTCCCAGCGCCAGCACTTGCATGACGGACGGCAGTCCCCGTTTGATTTGCAGAGTTTCTGATGTTTGGTACGGGGTCCGTTGGAACCACATGGTTTCTTTTTCGGAGGCCGTTCGAGCGGGATATGTTTCTGCCCCATTTTTGTCTTTGTATTTTCCGTTCGAAGTCCGTTTCATAGTTTCCGTCGTTGTTTTTGTTTTCTCCACATCGCATTCGAAGTTCAGTTGCTAGGACTTCTCCAATGAAGGAGGCGTGCTCATCATCATCGCATGCCCAATCCCACGCGTTCTCGGACCACTGCATTTTCGCACCAGCTTTGACAGCCCCCCTCCCCTTTATCTCCCTGCTCCCCCTTCCCTGTCCTCCTCCTTCTCCTCCTCCTCCTTCTACTCTTCCACATCCTTTTCATCTTCCTCCTCCTTCTCCTTATCTTATTCCCCCTCCTCGTCCTCTGCTTCCGCCCTCTCCTTCGCTTCATCCCTCTTCCTCCTTCCTCCTCCCTTCTGTCCTCTTCCTCCTATTCTTCCTTCTTCCTCTCCTCCTCGTCGTCGTCGTCCTCCTCCTCCTCCTCCTCCTCTTCCTCCTCCCCCCTTTTCTCCTCCTCCACCACCTCGCATAGTCCTCGTCCATGTCATTCCTATCCTTCTCTTCCTCCTCAACCCTCTCCTTATTCCCCCTCCTCCTTTTCCCTCTGACTTCTCATCTTCCTCCTCGCGCTTCTCATCTTACTCCTCTCCTCATCCTCTTCCTCATCTTCGTCCTCCTCCTCCTCCTTCTCCTCTTCCCTCTCTCCTCCTCGTTCTCCTCCTTCTCCTCCTCCCTCTCTCCTCCTCGTCCTCCTCCTCATCCTCCGCCTCCCCATCCTTCTCCTTCTCATCCTCCCCCC